CCAAAAGGACGTAAAGTTGATATCAAAAAGAAAAAGGACCTATTGGATCTTGTATGTTTTATTCCCCCCATTCATCACGAGTTCTATCAAAACCTGAAAACTACGCATGATCAAGACGATGAGATTTATTCTGATAGCGATGAAAGTGAATGTGAAAATTAGTTATTACATATTTCTTTTGTTAAGAGACTAATAAAAATTACTATTTTTTGAATTGTTCGTTTTTTTCCTGACTGTTCAGTAATTTTATCAACAATGGCCTATCCCACCGAATCAACTAATTTCTTTGCATACTGACAATTTCTCGTTAATACAAAAGTGGCCTAACCCACATTTTTTTTGTCAAATTTCGTTTTGCCCATAATATTGAAATAACATTTAAAATAGGACATCTTTTAAAAACTGTTGCAGTGGAAAAAAATCATATTAAAACAAAACTACCTTATTGGCAAAGAAACAAAAAAAGCGAAAATTTAAATTGCGTTTTTCTCAGTACCATGATTTTGGGCTTAGGCCACTCTTGCTCTGATAGCCTCATTTATCTTTATTTAGTATTATTCTCATGCACTTATTTTGTAAAATTTGCAGTCTTTCAAAAATGGAATTATTTGCTAATGCTATGTGAGCTCAGACATCCAGAAACACTCGATAAATATCCCACTTTACTACTAATCTTATTTATAACTTTTTCATAATGAATATCAAAAATTAATCGAGAGTCAACAAAAACCCCCAGGTATTTAAAATTTTCTACGAATTCAATATCTTCACCATCAATATTCAGTTGCACATTTGTACATTGTTTTTTTCCGATTAACAAGGCTTTCGTTTTACTTGCATTTAATTTTAGTCTGTTAGATGCTAACCATTTTGAGACAAGCTTCAAGTCTTCATTTATATAAGAGATACCAGACTGAGTATTTTTAGTACTTATATAAATCATAGTGTCATCATCAATCTGAATTTTGCATTTTTTGACTATGGCAGGTAAATCATTTATGTATAAAATAAAAAGAAGTGGTCCCAGGATACTGCCCTGTGGAACACCCAACGTATTTTCAATTTTTGATGAAATAGTCTCATTAACTTTTGTAACTTGTATCCTTTTAGACAAATAATTTCTAAACCAATCTAAAACACTTCCTGTTATACCATATGCCTTCAATTTACCTAACAAAATATCTCTATCAATCGTTTCAAATGCCCTCTTCAAATCCAAAAATACTGCTATGACAACTTCTTCTGAGTCTATGGCTCTTCTCCAGTTCTCAGTTACCAACTGGAAATATATTATTCTATTATATATATTCTGTGGAATATTTTTTTCGAAAGCCTGCTTGCGCCTCCACTAAAATTTTGTTTTCTTCTATAAACTGCATTAATTGGTCATGCACTATGGACTCTAATAATTTTTCAATGTCTGGTAACACATTTACTGGTCTCATATCGCTGCATCTTTTAGAATTTTTTATTTTGGGAACTGGTGTTATTGTAGAGCATTTCAAATTTTCAGGGAAAGAACTGCTTCTCAGTGAACAATTGATCCAATTTAATACAGGATATCCCAAAATTTCGAAACAGTTTCTCAGCACGTTTTTAGTAGTCATTTCGGCACAGTTGTTATTTGATTTTAAACTGTTTACTTTTTTTCTTAGATAATTCAATGATACGCTGTGAAATTTTGAAAGTGTATGCAACATTTCCCCCTGGAAACTGATTTTCATATAGTCAGGTGCAGCATTGGCAGTACCCACAATATCAACAATACTTTCCACAAAATATTCATTTAGTTTGTTTGCAATCACCAAAGAATTTGTTTCGGTACCGTTTTAGAATTGAACTTGATTTACACAATCATGCGGCTTCGAATTGATCAGTCTTTTTAAAGTCTTCCACATCTTTACACTGTCGCACTTGTTATTAAAGATTTGTTTATCGTAGAATTTCCTTTTTTCTTCTCTAATTACATATACACATTTATTCCTAAGAGTTTTATATACCTCCCAATCATTTGATTTTGTGAATATACATTTATTGTATTGTTTGTATCTCAAATTTTGAGCTGCCTTAATATTCTTGTTATACCAGGGTGTATTTTTTGTCGAGCAAATCACTTTTTTATCAGTTGCAAGATCTAAACAAGTTTTTATATTTCCTATTATGTTGTCATATATTTTTTCCATATTCTCACCAAAATTCGAATAGCAGCCAGCAAGTTCTCGTTCAAGTTTTTCGTACTTAATAGTATTTACGATTTTCTTTTTTTTTGTATCAGAAAAATGCCCTACCAAGGGCAGCATTGTCCAACTGTGATCGCTACCTTTAGGTGTATGTTCAGCTTTAATCCCTGCACATTCGAAATTTACAATAACAAGATCTAACAAAGTCTCTGATAATGATGTTATTCTGGTACTCTCTTCAATTTTTTGCTTGAACCCATAGTTGTTTATGGTTTCTTTCAATTTTCTTGTTTTCATGCTTTTACCATAATAATTTAAATTAAAATCACCTAAAAGTATTATATTGTTTCTAAAATTCCACATTTCTTCGCATTTTTCTTCAAAAAACGTTAAAAATGTATCCGCATCACTGTTTGGTGAACGATAAAAAGTACAAAGATCATAACGTTTCCCAAATAATTTGAACTGTATATGTGCATACCAGTATGCATAGTCTAAAGTGGTACAATCGAATAATGTGACCTGTATTTTGTGGTAAACATAAATCACTACACCTCCAGTATATCTGGAGTTGGAGTTGCATCTGTAGGTTTTATAATTAGTAATTTGTAATTCACCATCAGTGATGTCTTCTGTAGCATGTGTTTCGGTAAGACATAATACAAGTGGTTTTCGCCGTCTTAAAAACTGTTGAACTTCATCTATATTATTCAGGACTCCTTGTATGTTTAAATGGTATATTGACTTATATTCATCACTTACAGATTTAGCCACGTCCTGCAAATCTGAGCTTAGTAGTTGCTATTCATTTGCATAACTAATTTTTTCCCTCTCACGTTCAATTTTCCTTTTATATACTTCACAATTTTTGTCAAATGGTCCATGATTAATAGGTAATCCTAGATTAAAATCCTGGTTTGCACTTTTACAATTTGGACAGCATTTGTACATTTCACTGGTACTACAGTTTTCTGTTGAATGTCCTTCTAATCCACAAGTAAGACATCTTCCTGATTTTGTGCAGTATTTAGCTGTGTGGTTAAATCCGGTACATTTATAGCATCGCAAAACACTGATGTACTCGAAAACAGAGCAAACAGACATGTCGATAAAAATAACACCCTGATTCATAACACACTTAAAAGTCACAGCATCCACTTCTAAAATTGCTTGATATTTAGTTTTCATTTTCTTGACTGTAATTACTCTCATATGTGAATTTTCTTGAAAAGATTCATTTTGTGATTTTATACTATTTATTAGCTCGTCTTCTGCATATTCTTGACAAAATCCAATAACTTTGATTTGTGGTTTTTTACTTATCTCTGAAGTTTTCACTGTATATGTTTCTGGCATTTTTGATTTTATTTCTTTATGTAGCTTCGCGTTATCATCTTTTGTTTTACATTGGATTTTCACCCTACCATCCTTCAATTCATAAACTTTTTCAATAGCAATTTTCAAACTGGTAGGATTCACAAATTTTGCGATGTCTTTCTTTGTGTTATTACACTCTTGTTGGTTATTAGGCTTAACAATGACTGTATTTGTGGGTTTTAATACTTATGATTGTTTTTTTGCTGTACATGTTTGAAATGGTAAGCATTGCTGCTTATATTCTACCATTGTTGTAGGCGAATTAACGGTTGAAGGCCCTGAAGCTTTAACCATATTAGCGTAAGTTGTAATTGCTTCTTGTGACGGCTGTTGCATCTTCCCAATTTTTTTGTTTAATTGGTCTATCTTTTCGTACAATTCTTTTATTAATTTCTCTTGAATCGAAATGGTATAATCTTTTAGTTTCAAAACTTCCTCTGTACAAAATCCCTTTTCACTCAGTGAGACCACACTCTCCACTTCCTCACTAGCTCCATCCTTTTTAGAGTTCTCCTCCATATTCAAACTAAAAATTCAGGAATCTCCTAAAAACCTTTTTTTAGCTTGACCTAATTTTTGACATTAGAAGTCATATGCTAAATTTTTCATGAGGTATGTTTATCTCAGCAGGTGCTTGCAATTGTGAACCCGGTATGTTATCAGCTGACATTACATTCTCATCGCCGGAGTCTTCGTCTGTGAGAATATCACAAACATTGATTGGAGGCATCAATGTGATATTATCCACATTTGCTACCATATCTTCATTATCCTCCAGCATAGCAAGGGTTTCCTCCAGAGAAAAGCCCCTAAAAATGAAACAGACATGTATTTTCCTGGCGTACAATATTTTGCACACTCAAATAAAATGACGCAATTGTGAATTCGAAATAAGTAATTTGGCATTATAACTGGAAAAAAGCATGTGTGTTTTATTGGTAGAAGCAATCAAAACATTTTTTTTATTTTCGTAAAGACCATATATTTACTTACTTGGCAAATCGTATTCCATATTCAGCCATGTCACCAAAAATAAAAACTTCTTCCTCAAATTTTAAAAAAATATCAATACAACGATAACGCACGTTACGATTTACTAAGGCCTACTGAATACATCTGTGCTATTACCGCGTCAAAATAAGCACAGGTCGTCGCGACTTGTTTACGGTGTGCCATAAATTGTACGCTAGGCATATCTGGGTTAATGAAGTCCTCGAGGAAAACATGTTACATAGAAGACCCCCTTAAAATGCGATCCTGTGTATGATGTTTCATTTTTGGTCACGATTTGTGAACCACCCTGTATATGGTCTGTTTATAATTTGCAAAGTAATGGCGAAGAGAAAACGATTAGCTGAGACACTTTAAAATTGGTAGTTCGGCCCAGTTGACTCGGTACCAAATCAACATTAAGGTCAAAATAAGTGTAACGTATGTACTGACCTGCAATATCACATGAACAAAAGCTGCTGGATCTCCTCCGCCCAATTTAGACAGTCGAAGAAACCATACTAAAATACGCATCACAAATGGCAAAAGGAAGCACAATCTTCTCTCCCAAGGCGACCAAGCTATCAGTGCCTGAAAATAGTGAAAATTGAACAGTAATGGAATATTTTACAAACGACGAAATATAAATAATTTCCCTCTTCAAAATGTATTCGAAAAACGGCTCCCAGGCTTGAAATATAACCTTTCGGGAGAAAACTGTTCCGTGATAAGTCTATTTGTCCCATCCTTAGCTTGTTTTAGAGGCTCTAAATGGTTTACTTAGGACAAACAGATTCCACAAACATTTTTTCCACAAAAATGAGATCTATCGTTAAGCTTCAGCTAAAGGGCCTTCACAGTGTTTTTCAATAAGCCTCACCTACTTATTTTTTGAACAGGTCAAGTTAACAAACTGAAATTCGAGGTAATGAAATTGATGCACAAGTACTATATTTTAGCGTAAAAGTGTCAGTTGAAAATTCCTATATAGAGGCTCGGGCCTTTTTGGAACCTTTTTTAAATGGAATGGGTTGTGAAGCACCTTATGAGTATTTTTTAACCCTAGAATATGAAACCTCTGTCCTTTAAAATTGCGAACTGTCAGGCTGTCAAAGTTCAGCGTTATAACTCAACAATCAACCATCAAAATAAATGTTGTATCAATCCTCATCTCTTGGAAGTGTAATATTCGAACATGTAATAAAATATGAATCATTCCTTTTGAGAAAATTGTCAAAATCTGTCAAATTTTTGCTTATCCAGATAGCCCTTTCAAACGATAAATATTTAAGTTTTTATGAATAGTTGTGAAGCAATTCAATCTACGAAAATGCCCAACTTTAACAACCTGTCAGTTCACAATTTTGAATAGTGATTTTATATTCTAGAGTTATAAATAAAGTATTCATGAGGAGCTTCAAATAAGGTATTACATAAGAAGTAAGGTTCTCCTTTCTGAAAAACACTATATCAATAGGTTAGTTTGGATACCGAGGCTGGTCGCTAGGGATGGAGGCTTCGGTTATAAATATAACTTTGTCTGTTTGAAAAAAGCTACCCCTCTCTTCAAATATCTGAATAGATGTTCTGGAGTCATGGCTCAGAACACTGAGTTGAACTTACTCTTCTTTAAAAGCAAAAAAAAAATTAAATCGTTAAACCACAGATGTATAAGCAACAAAAAGTAATACATACCTTATATAATCCCCATATACTAAAAAGGCAATAACACGTTATTAGAAACGTCTTAATGTGATTTGGAAGGCAATACGTTGTAGCGAATATCATAGGCATCGCACCTGAAACATGAAGGTTTTTTTACCGATTATAACCAAAAGAAAATTGATATCAGTGCTTGATATCTTGCATCCATAATAAATAAGCTGAACAAGCGGTTGAGATATGTAATAAATATTTTTTTATTTTGTCATTATTTGTTCAGATTATATATTTGCAATCATACAAAACATTTAGCTAATGCATAGGTGTCGTAGAAACTTTCGTCGAATGTTAATAGTAAAACCCTCTCCAGACTCACGCGCGGATCGCGAGCGAATCCGTGAACTACCGGCTTCACTTAGCGTTCGCGCGTTGTTCCCGTTTATTGTCGGTTTTTTTGTCCCGCGGCCAAGAGTTCGCAAGGAGCGAACATGACTAGGCTCCTCATTCGCGGATGGCTCAGTTGCCTCATAGCGAGTGCCGGGAGTGGTTGTTTTTTCCACTTCTTTTCAATTGTTTTAAGCCCTTTCCAGACTCACGCGCGGATCGCGCGAATTACGGCATTGCTATGATGATGATCTCATACGTAGAGTTGCTTAGGTTTGCACTTTTCGATTCCTTTGTTCTAGCCTAGGTTATAAGTAAGAGATGCATGTAAAACAATGTGACCAGTACTCATTCGTCTTCTGTTGAATAAAGTCGCTTTTTTAAAAAGTCGTTCGTTGTTTGCACTTTCATAATTGGCGCTGCGAACAGGATCGGCGTACCGAATCGATAATCGGCGGTATTGATTCACGAGTAAAATCGTCCGGTGTGTTCGGGTACGATTTCAATCGTTTTGACGTCGATCACAAAGAACTTTAAAGGCTGGACCGAGCAGGCCCATCACCATCGAAGTACCAGGCCGAAATACTTGCTAAGTATTTTGGGAGCAGGCAACGACACTTGAAAAAACGAGAGGAGCGGACAGCGAGCTGTATTGGCTCAAGGAGGTATCTCGAATCTCCATATGAAGCTGCTAGCGCCCAGTGTAGCATAAGAAACATCATACAATTTTTGCTGCACCCAGTGATTTTTCCATTTATTTCTCGAAACTTTTTCGCCCTCTACTGCTTTACATTTAGATATACTTGTAAACGATATCTATAAGTGAATTTATTTGACGTCTATAAAAGTGACTTTATTTGCAAATATTTAATGTCCGATTCTGAATTTGAATGTTTAGTCGAAAATACATCTGTTAGACAAGTTATTTTGACACCCTCACGTCTTAATTTTAATCAGTCAGCCCTGTCTCTTCGAGATTTACAAATTAAATTTAATGTAGCTAAATATATGGTACCAGTATATCATGGAGGTCACAGAAATCTAATTTAATTTTTGGATAATTCAGAAAACTTTATTGCAGAATTTGCTAATACACCTTTTGTTTCATATGCTTTCCAATACGTTATTCTAATTCTAATCATATTGCTTTTAAATTTAGAGACTATGATAGACAGTCTTTAAGCTCATTTATCTCAGGTAAGACAGCAAAATCCTACTACAATTGATTCTTGTGTTCAATATTGTCGTGATTATGATAATTTGCAACTGCAAGTTGATTACCAAAAATTCTTAAGAACGAGCCTATATAAACGACAACAACCTCAGTCGCAGAATAAAGTACAAGCTTCAAATCAAAATTTAAAAAGGTCTAATTTTAATTTTTCTCAAAAGCCCAATCAGTTTAGAGCCCAAAATAGTCAAACTTGACTAGAGCTACAACAAACCTACCCTTCAGGTCCTATGCAACTACCACCACCTAAACAAAATTTTAAACCTCATTATCCTACGAGCATTCAAGCTTTCAGACCACCACAAAATGTTTTTTCGAAAAAACCCATTCCAGGCCACCAAAAATGCAATCCTACACCAATGTCTGTATCTGCAGCACACACACCCACCGAAACCCCAACAAAACCCATATCCTCAACAAATGCCCACTAGAGTTAATACTTTTCAAGTAGGTCCCAAGCCAAACCATTATTTTGTCGAAGAAATTACTCATCTTGAAAATGAGGAAGAACAAACTTTTGCAGAAACGCCACAATATGAATCTGAGGAACATTCGATTCAGACTATATCGCTGGTGAATCTTATTTTGAAAACAATGACGAAGAAAATTTTCCTTGGACGAGCCAGTCTCAAAATTTGACTTAGATATAACTAATTATCAAAAAACTCATCTTCCGTATATTTTTAGTTCTCAGTTTAATCTTATCATCTTAATCGATACTGGTGCATCATCCTCCCTGATCAATCCAGAAATTGCTTTTAAATATTTTCCAGATCGTATTTATGATCATCCTTATGAAACTAATTCATGTACGTCCAATTTTAGAGGTCAATATGCTTGTAAAATTCCCATATTTTCTGAATGGAAGAATAAAACTGAAATTGAATTTTTAATTCTTCCTTGGCATTCACGTTATGACTGCTTATTAGGATTCTATGATTTACAAAACCTTAATTGCTCTATTGATTTGACTAAACGTCAGATTATTACTGACAAATGTAAGATTACTTATAACACTTATTTTAAGCCAATTCGAGAAAACAATCCAGTTCAGTATAGTTACCCGAAAAAAATCATTAATTATCCGAAATTTGTATAATGGTTCTGTTGTTATTCCACCTTTAAAATTCAAAAATTCTGACGATTATTTTCATGAATGTATCTTTAATGTAGAAAATAATGCTATTCAATATCCGATTGACATAAATCTTCTTGATATTTCCAATCCATTGTTATGTGAACCTCTCGAAGATTTTCTAATTGAAAAAGAATCTCCATTTTCTACTGAAAAATCCGATATATGTGTTGAAAATTTAATTCATACGTCTCATACGAATAGTGAAGAAAAGGAAAAGACTATTAAGCTCTGTAAGCAATTCAAACAGGTATTTTTTAAGCCTAACGAACCCCTAACTCCCTGTAATGCTACTACACATAAAATTAGATTGAAAAATGAAGACCCAATTTATGTGAAAAATTATCGCTATCCTTATCATCTCAAAAAGGAAATCCAAAATCAAGTTTCCAAGTTGTTGAATGATGGAATCATCAATGGTTATTGATTTCAGAAAACTGAATTAAATAACAATTGATGATAAATTTCCACTCCCACTAATTGAAGAAATTTTGGAAAATTTAGGCAAAAGCACTTATTTTTCTACTATTGATTTCGCACAAGGGTTCCACTAGGTCCCTCTGGATCCTGAGTCTATAGAAAAAACGGCTGTTACTGTTGAAAATGGCCACTATGAGTATGTCCGTATGCCATTTGGGTTAAAAAATGCTCCTGCTACTTTTCAACGTATTGTTAGATTATATATAACGTTTTTTGTTTCGTCTATATGGACGATATCATTGTTTTTTCAAAATCCATAGACGAACACATTCTGCATCTTCAAAACGTTTTAAAGTCGATGGGCAGGACTAATAGGTTCAGAGATTTGCAGGAAAAAAAAAACACGCCAAAGTGGCGTATCGAGGCACTGGCTGAAATAGGCAATTAGTACCCTTATAATGAATGAGAAGTCTTTGTTCCACATTCAGATGCCTTTGGGAACTTGTCACACAACCCTCTTGGTGTTGTGGGTCCTGTAAGGTCCCTAACAGCGGGCAAAACGGCACTAAGGTCCCTTTTGGTTATAGTCCTAGTTTAAATGCACTTGGTCATCGTGCGGGAATCGCAATCTGCACGGAGCTGATGCACTGTCGGACGTCGGGGAGACGCTAGAACTGGCTATAGGCCCTTTTGGGACTTGAAACCCTGCAGGGTCTGATCTAGCCTTTTGGAAAGAGATGCCCTAGGGGTGTGGGCACTCATTTTATAGGGTACGGCAGAAGGAATCGAATAGACGTAATTTTGATTCAATCAAATGCACCACGTCGGCGTCACGACGTCAAGAAGATTCGCAGTGGCGGACGGCATGACGTAGCGACCAAGGTCGGTTCTAGAACATTGGCGAGCACTATAAAAGCGCGGGCGTATGTACGCCGGCTTTCTTTTCCGTTCTTCTCTCCTGACAGAAACCGTAGTACCGGAGCACCCGCTTGCACCAAGAGGTAAGGGGGTGAGTTACAAGGGTGTTCCGTTTAACCGTTTAAACCAGTGCGTTCCATTTTAGTGATATAGTTGTAATTCTGATAACCGTAAGTGAAGTATTTTTCAGGTTCTGGATTTATTTATTGTTGTTGAAATTTTGCTTACCGTATAGAGCCTAATCCAGAATCCGGGTGATTTTATTTTTCTCTGATTGACTCGTTCTTGAGTCATAGAAATTGTAGTGTACCGTTTTCAGGGTATATCTTTTGCATACGAATTTTGAGAAAAGAGTTGTTTGTTTTCCGTTTATTTTTAAATATTGCCCGAACTAGTTTGCTGAAGAAAAAAAAAATAACTGTGAGTTAGATTTTGAGGATATTTTAGAACAAACCGTTTAGGAATGGGTTTACCAGCCTTAGCGTAATTTACATTTGAGTTGACTTGTGTCAAGTAGGTAGACTCTGCGCGCCAGTGTTGGTTAATTGCGGTACTCTGGGACCTCCATAAGCGCTATTATTGAAGATTATTTGCACATATTCATGCATCTGACTGGTGATTCGACATACCCGACCGCATCTACCAGGCAGTATTCTCAATTTCTCTGAGTTCGACCCCCTTCCTCGCAAGTTAGACACCGAGGTTTCGGAAGTAACTGGAGAGGCATATTCCCGATTGAGCTAGGTATCCCCGGACTCCCACCCAAGTTAGACATCGAGTTTTTCGGAAGTGACTAGTGGAACCTCGGTACACCTGGCGACTGTTTGGAATATGTATTAACCCTAATGCCAATCACGCAGTGAAGTTCTATTTCAGGAAACTGAAAGCCGAAAGCAAAAGGTGTTTTTATTTCTGGTTGGCCTTGCAAATTATATATAATATATCTTTACGTCCCTGAAGGTCCCGGAACTAACCAATATCTAATTGTGATCATTACATCCCCGCAAAGTTCCAGATATACAGAAGTGTTTTATAGGTTGAGTCATTGT